TGGACGTTTCCCTGACAGAGCATGCTGAACATTTGGATGAGCCATCGCTTAAACGTCTTCCAAATCGTGGTGACTTTGGCAGATGCGTTATATGAGGGATGGGTCATTTTCCTAGTATGGCCATATACACCCTAGGTCCTTGTGTACTTGTTGTGTGCCCCGAAATAACAGTTCTTTGTGGCCGATTTGAAGGGAAACCAACAAGGAACCACCGAAGTCAGCTGGCAACACAGAAATATTCGCTTTGCTCAGTACCCTTGTCCTTGTGTAGGTTTTAGTGTGTCCCTAAAAACTACTCTTTGTGGTCGATGAAAAACAAACAATAAGAACCACCGAAGTCAGCGGGCAACACAGAACTTGCTTGCTGAACCGGTCGAGGCTTCCCAGCGCAGCAGGGGCAGCCGTTGCCCCTTCGACGACCACGCGGCCTTCGGTGCTAGTCCAGCGGAGCGCGGGTACGAGTTGAATGACACGGTTCAAGTGGTTGGAGCTGATGTGGGTATGAATTTTACTAAGGGACCCTTTGGTGGACATCATTTAGGTACTTAGGTGGGATTCATGTCCACCAATCACTTTCGAGGTGGTTCCCGGTTAAAATGAATGGCCATGTTGAAGCCACATTTGGGTTTGTGTGCCATGGGTTGCTTAGCTCGAATCGGGTTCCCTGAAGATACTCTCGTCCTTCCGTCTGCCAAACGTAGCCTGCTGCATGAAAGCTGTTGGAGGCGAACCAATATGGGGTGGTGCCTTGAAATAGGGGACTCAGGAGTCAGCCAAACAGAACAGCAAAAGTAGTTAAAATGAGGTTGTGGTTTTGTGGGGTACTCTGAGCGGATTTGCCTCTTCATGGGAGATGGACGTGTGTTCTGAATGCAGCCCATATACATATATATATATATGTCCTTAACAAACAACTCCCCCTTCCAAGCTGGCCTTGAATGCTTCTGGAATGCTTGAACTTCAACCAACTTGCCAATCCTGATTTTGGTATCACCCTGGCAAACGGTTTACATGGGTTGCATTTCATTGGTTGCTCATGTTGGTACTAGTAGGTTGGAACCAACTGAAGGACGGTGACGTTTACTGACCTGTAGTTCTGGTTCCTTGATGCGGTTACATATTGAGGGGTTAGACAAGTTGCCTTTTGGCAGTTGCACAGTCAGCAGCATCCTCTAAACCCATTCCTGTTTGGTGGGTTCATCAAACAAAAACCATCCAAAGGCGTTTCCTTCCATCTGGGCTGACGCACTTCGTATGTTTAAACAGATTCCCAAAAAACTCCAAAAGGTGTCCCCTCCAAAGGCTCCAAAAAGGGTTGACATGCCTGTCGCAAAGTGGGTGGGACGCTTCCGGCTTCCTCCAACTCCCCTTTGGTGGGTTCCCCCTTCCAAGAATCTGAATTTGCGAAGTTCACACTGGCCCTTAGCAGAACACGTCCAACCACGCCTCACAACAAAAACAAACAAAAATAAAACACTAGGACTACCGTCAGACTTCTTGCGGGAGTCCCTTAAACGACTCAGTCGCACGCTGACCTTTGGAAGTCTTTTGGTTTCCCTCTATGTTTAGTCTCGGTTCCAAAAGGTGAACCTTCTATTTGCAGCTCCTCGTGGCAAGCGAGTGAGGGGAAGCCCCCTTGCATAAACCAAGTTAAATCCCAGTTCCCACCACAGCATGCCAAACAAACGTCCTTCTGTTTCTAGACACTGAACAAATCCATATTGAATACCAACAGCTGTCTAGTATTCTAGCTGAAGCTGTTGGTTCTAGACACGTCCCCAAGAATGTTGAATTATCCAAACCAGAAAGCTTCGGGATCTGTCAACAACCTCCAACTTGGTATTGAATACCAACAGCTTCAGCTCCATATGGGTGTGGCTCAAACTTAATCAGGAGGGGCAAACCGCAGGTTTTGGTCCATGTTTCCACCTACCAGGGCAACCCATTTTGGAATTCCGGCTTTTTGAGCCACGGCCATATCTCCAGGGTCTGGGCACCTCTGGGCACCTCTGGGCACCTCCGAGCTCCGGATCTCCGACAGGACCGCGAGGCGCGGCCCAGGCATCTGCCCCCCAGCGCGCCGGACGCCGCCAGGTCTCACCAGGCGCCGCTCCCGCGGGGGCAACGTACGGCGGTCGTCTCGGCGGTTCCCAGATCCGCTTCGGTTTCCTTCCGTTTGCTGAAGAATATTTGTTATTTCCCTTGTTGGTTTTAAAGGGAATCTATCACTACTGGACATATTTTTGTGTTTATTAGATTTTTTCCAGGGGTCTTAACCAAATGGAAGTTTTTTGGCTGGTGCGACAGGTATGGAAGGAGCTTGAATGAACCCATTGGTCCCCAAGGAAGCTACCTAAGGACCGAGCCGCCAGCAGGGGATCTGGGAACAGCCTGGTGGTGGTTGGTGAGCACCTCTTGTGAATGTGTGTTTCGCGAGGTTTGTTTTTTGCTGGGGTTGTGGTTGGTTGGTTGGGTGGTTGGGTGGTTGGTTGGTTGGTTGGTTGGTTGGTTTGTGGTGTGTCTTTGTGTCTTTTGCGGGCGGGGTCTTTGCTCAATATATATGACATATATGAGTGTGTTTGTAGTGTACACTTCTTCATTTTGCTTGTTGTCAGTATTTTGTGTGCAGGCATTTTTGGAAGTTCACGCCTCTGTTGGGGCAGCTGTCAGATGGTTTGCTGTATCCCACCGCTTGGCTTTGCTCCTCTTGGAAGGTCGGGCGGAAGAATTTTGCGTAGGAGACTGAATGAGGTGTACAGCGAGGCAGGCATATTCCCAAAACTAGGTAGGTGGTTGCGATCACAAAACAGTGCGGCGGTGGACAACGAGGTCAATGAGTCCCAACGGGTGCAGGGTTGGAGAACGCGGTGGGAACACCCAACCATTCAAGGATGTCGCAAAAGCGGCCGTAGCTCATGTAAAGTCTCGTGCGCCGTATTGCCCCAATGATATGGTCGCCCGAGACCATCTCCCCAGCCCCACTGTTTCTAGTTTTTGGGCCCATCACGATAGAACTATGCAAGTGCATCTCTTCCTGAACCCTTCGACGATGTGATGGTCTCAATATCCGGATCATTTTGTTGACGATAAGAAAGCAAAGAAAAAATGTCCAAAAGCAACCTTCATCAACTGTATTCAAAACCGCATCTTCGACATCGATGGCACGAAGGAGGAATAAATTTACTCGCAGAGATACATCCAAGAAGATGTCGGGCAGATATCCGCCATCTTTTATTCACCACGCAGGAATTCATTCGCGACAACCGGAGTGCACGACTGTGAGACCAATGCATCCTCGGCATACAACACATTTCAGACCAGCATGTTTTGAGTTTTAAACCGTTGCAGACAGAATCACAGGAGATGCCAACAGGGCAGCTAAACGATTGAGCAAGAACCAGCCAGTTCAGAATCCAAGCAGTTCAATAGCGTACAGAAGAACTATGCCACACGTTCCATGTTCACTATTCAGGTGAGACACCAACCAGCATGAGATCCATGCTAGAGGCAGCATTCAATTGAGGACGGCCCAGACTCGAGCTTATTTGCATTGTAGCATGTGGCTTCAGTTGAGAAAGGACACTCAAATTGGCCGAATACTGAGAAAGGATATTCAAGAAGCTCACTTGCAACGTTCAGGCGGCCATCAAGAAGTTCAAAGCATACCGAACATCTTCAAGACTACACTATGACTTCGTCAGAGCGATGCAGCTTTCTCAAGAATGTGATTGCTATTTCTCGGATCCATGGATGCTGATTGGCACCATCCACCACTTTGTGTCATCAACTGCAAAAGCAAGCCATGCGTGTCAAGGTCGGAAGCAGCTCTTCAGAGGGAAAGGCAAAAGAGCCTGGAACGATTTTTCCGCAATTAAGCATTCCGCTATTGCAAATGGAATTACATTCCAAATATTTACACATCTATGCATTCCTTCCAAGATATTTCTTTATTGAATGGATGATATTCCTTTTCCATTATGATGAATGCTCGCTCCAGGTATCCCGGCATACAGTACTCATGTGGGCTACGCCTTTTCGACTAGGTAGAGAGCATTGTTCATAGAGACATACCGGACTCCCAAAACGGTGCTTCTAGTTTTCCCTGCATTGGTTACAGCGGAGATAACCAGCCCAACGCTTCGTACGCTTCCAACCAAGCTCGTCCAGTACTCGGAATCGACCTGGGGACTATACCTGGTCATTGCAGGCTTTCGGGAGCCCCCATTTCCAGTGTCAACCCCCCACAGCCCCGCCTCCACCCCCAACAAACGCCGACTCTATGCCAACCGAGGCCTGGTGCTTCTGAGCATAGCCATTGACAGGGGGTAGCTCTACTATGGGTTCTCGGTAGATTGTGACTCAGGTGGGGTACCACAGACTGTCTAGGAAATTGAGCTGTTGCCCGAAGAAACGCTGCAACGCCCTTTGATACAAAACAGACCTTTCCCGGCAGGATGCGCATGAGATGCGGCGGAATAACCGCCAAGCGCAGCTGAAGGTGGGGGAGCTTGGGTGTCAAGGTGTTTGATGCAACAGTGGATTCCTCCTCCGAGACTGTCAAAAGAGTGCATTCAAGCACTGGGGAAGCCACAGCCGGGAGATGTCGCACGTTGCCCAGTGGGTAGTCGACAACCGTCATTTAGGGCACGGCATGAGCAAATTGCTGTCAGCAAATGGGATTTACTCATCACATTCCCAGTTCATACAAAGACCTTGAGGGAGAATCCGAAATCGTAAGACGCTTTCACATAGCAGCATTAGGGGAGGCTAAATACGCAAATTGTTTGCCAGGGATGACATGGCTGATGACATTGTTTTGAACACCTGAAACTTGGCTGTTCTTCGGAGAGAACATGGGAACGACTGCCTGCCAACAGTAAATCAAGGCTTAGCTACAGGTGTCTTGTCTCCCCGTTTTGTTAGTATAGAGAACAAATCAATCATACCTCTGGGGGCAAGGGTCAGTCCCCCCCCTGGTAGACATTGCATTGCCATCAAGGTAGGCAGAACGGATAGACAATCCAAGAGCCTAGGGTCTGGGGGCACCTCCTGGCCGCCATGGAAGCCCATTCTTTTCCTGGTTTGGTAGGGACGGCAGCGAGGCCAATAGAGAAACATTTGTGGCCACATCGGTATGACCAAGAGTAAAGGGTTGCTCACTTGATCTAATCCGTTCAACCGCTCATTCCAGCTCTATGTTGGGCGCCATGTGTGTGTGTTTTGGTGGAAAAGCCTGCAGGATGGAAGCAGCCAGGGGCGTGCAGACTCACCATCATGGATCTATGATGCAGGGCATACGCAGCTGTGAGCATACGTAGGCGTCCTTTTTGGGTAATTTGGCTTAAAAATAGAGGGCCCTGGTTACCTGATGGTTCAATCAACTACCAGGGCCATCTAGTTTCCCAAACAGGACACCTATGGCTGTGAGGCGATTGCTGAAGGCCTCTTTTCATGCTCTTTCGAGGGTTGTCGCGATTCGGGGCTGCTTTAGAGGGTGCCAGCCGATGCCAGCTGCTCTCACTTTGAACAAATCTCAAGAGATGACTCGGAGACTGAGAGATACCTCAGAGACGATCTTATATTGTAGTGATGTTATTTTTCAGCGATTGAGGCGATATTTTGAAGCAGGTAGCTAGTCTCCTGATTCGAATGGAACACCTGACCGAATTTGAATCCTGCAACTCTCTCCGGCGACCATGTGCAAGAACGAAGGTTTGCGCTATTGGCCAGACCATGAAAAGCCATTCCATCATGATCTCAGAATTCCATGCGAGCCACACCGATTCAGAAGTTTCTCACTGCAGCAAAGTCGCACAGATTTCGATCTCAAGGAAAGGGGCCCCTTTCCGAAGCCATGCCTTTGGAAAGCCTCTGACCTCATGGCTCTTGGCTTCGCGGGGGTTTGCAACCAAGAACCTTCAGAGCCTCGGAACCTAAATAATCTAAACCAGCTGGAAGATCTACAAGCTACACCTCAGGTATTTGTTAGATACTGTGGATTGCGAAATCCATTTCGCACCACTTTGAAACCACGGCTGAAACCATAACGTTTGGTATTCACCGGGGAATCCTCCACGTTTCACAACAGTGCAGGTGGTTCTTGGAGTCGCTTAGGAAGTTGTCCGGAGCGGGCGAACAAGAAGCCTCGGGGTTTCAGACGCCTGAGATCGGCGGCACGCCCTGGGACGCGCCGGAGACCTCCAATCCGAGTCGGGGGGCCCGAGCGCCCGAGCTCCCGAGCTCCCTTGGAGCGGCTTGGGACTTCCAGCTCCGGTTTGGGGCGCAAGATTGCGGTGGGCACGGCTGATTTTTAGATATTCTTGTGCAAGTAAACCAACCGCAAAGCATCGCGGGCTTGATCTTCCTTAGGCCCGACTTACATGTAGGGAATGCACCATGAGTGGGCTGATACCGCTGCAAAGCTACAGGGCACATTGACGCCCAATCTGTGACCAAAATGACGAGCAGGCGGCTTATGACAAAAACATATAATGTGGCTTTAGCGAGTGCCTCTCTGCTGCTCTGAAGGGAAGTATTTCCTGTTGGTGATTTCAGCACAGAATCCGAACAACTAGCATCTGCTATTTGGGCGTGTCTTTTTTTGACGGTACCGAGTTTTGGGTGGCTTTTGAAGGCAAAACAAAATTAAAACCACTTTGGCGGGGGGTCCGTCAAAAGACGACACAGCAAATTACAAGCATTGATGCTGCTTCGCCGCCAGTTGTTGGTGTGCCTCAAGTAATTGGGTGTTGTGCCACAGCCTAAGGACCGTCTCTGTTTCCACATCATTGGTTGTGCTTGGTTTGGGTTGATCCTTTGATTGTGGTCCATCGGAGATTGCGGGTTGATGTAAGCATTGTCCTGTATTTCCTGTGCCTCCCGCGTTTCCGGTTTGTGCTGTGCCTTGTGGAGTAAGCGGCGTTGTTGGAGCTATCATGAATCATGGCGATTGGTTCTTACTTTGCATGTGCAAAGTCTCAACTCTGTCCCTTGAGGTAGCGTTGTGATCTGGCTTGTGCGAAGAGTAGTCCGTTTGTTTTTGTCATGTCGCAGGCAAATCCTTTGCCTCGGTGTATCCTTAGATTGTCATCCAGCACAATATCGGATCTACACACGTAAAAAGGATCATGCATATTTATTTGTATCAGTTTGCGACTTTTCTGCGTTGTCCATTCTCTTGCGTGAGTTGTTGTAGCGGGCAAACTTGCAGCCGCACACATGAGGTTCATGTACTCCTTATCCTCATGTGTTGCAGCGATTCAGATTGAATCATTTATCCACATCGGCAAACCATCAACTCTATAGTTGATCGATTGAAGGCTGTGCAATGAGGTGGGCTATCCAATTATAAGCTTGCTGATCTATCCTAGATGTTCGGCAGGCAAGGGGGGCCTTAACTGTCCCGTTTCGCCTAGTCGCTCGGCAGTAGCCTTTCTGTTTGACTATGGGTGCTGCACTGGATTCCGCCAAAGCTACGGCACGCACGTGCGGCCTAGTCACTCTTGTTTCTTTTCCTTTGCTCCACCTTTTTGGGTTTTCCCAGCGACCTCTGGCAGTTGGCCATGTGGTCTTGTGAGCTCTGCTCGAGCCGGAAGGTGCTAGCACCTGTGCTGCTGCTCAGCAGCAGGCGCAACCAGGGCAACCAGGGCAACCAGCAACCGGCGCGCTCGCCTCGGCTTGGAAGGACCCTGGTTTTGCTCCATGTTTTGCTCCAGGGCAAGCGAAGGGGTGCGTTTGTTTCGAGTTGGTGATTACCCCGTTCAGCTTGGCTTGTTGGGAAACCAAGCAGAGATATTGCTGCGAACGGTTTGGCGCGTCGGGACTCTCATGGATAACCCACAAAATGGGCTTCGGTTTCCCGTTGGTTTCCATTACAACCCCAAAGGACGCTCAAGAAAGACACCCATATTGCGGATGGACAAAATCCTGCACCAGTTGGTAGGTGGTCTATCCCACTATTCACAAGGCTTCATCGATCCTAAGTAGCGCAGGATTTCGTCCACCCACGTGAGGTTCAGTCAACATGTCTAGTCCACAGTACAATAGAAGTTTCGGACATGCGGCGCTTCCCATACATGGGACTCACGAGAAAGACAAAAACAGCTTTCACCATAGTTTTTCCATGTTGGCTCCTTCGATTCAAAACAAATCCAAGAAGTAGAAAAGGAGCTTTTGGTTTCCCTTCGAAACCCACCAAACACCGGTACCTTCCAAAAAGGCAGAGACCGCATCTCACCCGGTTTTTGCTTCTCCCCCACAGGCCGCGGCCGGGGCGCCCAGCGCCCGGGCGGCGCGCAGCGAGGCGCTGGCGGAGGCGCTGTACAGGGGGGAACCAGCTTGATACGGGAGGATTCACCCGTTTGATGCGCCTTGACTAAGTTTGATATGGGAAGTGGCGCCAAGGGAATCCCCCCATATCTCCGCTCCCTCCGTATCCCCGCTTGTTTGTTTATCCAAAAACAAGTCAGGGGCAAGAAGAACCACCCACCATGCTGCTTGCTGATGGGTACAAGGTCCAGACACGGTGGCAGTTATGGATGAAACCACCAAAAGCCGTGCAGGATTTTGTCCACAGATGTCCTTTTGAGGTAAGTTTGGTTAATGGTTGGAAGCCACGTTTCAGCTTGAGTTTCGGGGAGGTGGGGGCTGATTTTCAGGTTTTCCTTGGGTAAATTGAGCAGACGTAACTTGGTGCCTCCCAGCCATCCGGTTCCTTAGCTTTCTAGCTTTTTGGTGTTTAGGGGTTGGTTTTCCATTTAGCCCACTAAAAGTTATAACTTTTAGCGGGGGATCTGAGGACAGCTCAGGTAATTGGTATGATATACAACAGCTTTGTGATTGTTTGTTACGGGTGGAGATGTCAGCTTGTGGCACCTTTGTGGCGGGAGATTGTGGAAGGGAAGGGACCTGTTCTAGTTCTCGTTTGTGAATGCGAAGAACGAATTTGAGGGGGTGGAGGGTAGGGGCACACGTGGCTGTTTTTGGCTGGTAATGCTCGTGATGCCAGCTCGTAATTCTGGTGAAGTGGGCCCTTGCCTTTGTTTGTTCTGCAACAATCCTGTTCCCCATGTGAAGTAGAAGTGCAAAGCTCAAAGAAGCCTTGTGCCCATGCCGTTTCAGTGTCGCATGTTGGTGTGTTTAAGGGGCCAAATGAAAATGGTGGCTTTCTTCCTGGGTTTTCCTTGAACAAAAAAGAGAGGGGCGCCCTCAAACTAGACGCCCTGTTCATCCCCCAGCCTCGCCAGGCTCACTCGCCATGAAACAGGCAGAACTCTAAAGTACCCAAAGTGAGGCTTGTACCTCTCAATTCCTGAGTGCGACTGTTTTTTGTTTTTTTGCAACTACAAGGTTTTCCCTCAGGGAGTGAGACCTCACGTTCTTGACCCTGATTGTACCGATGGGAAGAGGTTTTCTAAAACTACCAGAAACCTCCAACCTCCCCAACAATTCTGGGGCGCGCTGCCATTTTGCCACAGCCCCCTTCTCACCACATCGGATCTCATTCAGACAGGCTTAAGTATGGAATTTCTTGTACGTGTACTTCACGCAATCGAGCTTGCCCAAGCTCCTCCCAAACCAGAGCTTCATCCACTTGCCCCATGCAACAATCCGAGCCTGCGCCAGCTTCTCCCAGAGCCGTTGTGAAGCAATCAGTGTTTGCCCCATAGTGAGAAACACAGCACATGGACCCCGACTTGGCGGACATTTCCGGCAGCCATTTCTCGGTGGACATCTCCAATGTGCGCGAACTTCTGCAGACTGATTCGTTGGGCATGCTAACTGATTGTTGCGAAACGTATGGGAATGCTTGGTAAATTTTCGCTTGGGTGTCGTTAAAGCCCGCCCAAAGGGGTTCCCTGATCTTACGCGCAAGGACCTTCCCGTCCGCATTCCGGCCAGGCGAAGCGCTACCGCGAGCGGATGCACGGCTCGCAGGACGTCCGGGGGAGCTTAGGTTTGGGCATGGCGCATAATAGGGAGACCTCCAAAATGGGCTTCGGTTTCCTTTTAGCTTCCCTTTTAAGCCAACCTGAAGGTAGCAGCTCCAAACAGAGAAGCCCATTTCAAAGGGATTCCGTCCACTGCAACAAATCTGCCGTCATATGCGAGCGTCAGCGAGATGTGGCCATTGGGTTTGACGCCCTCTTTCAGTGCGAAGTTTCACCGCTTTGGGTTCTCTTTGCAGACCCTCGCTTTGGGTGAAAGGGAAGCCAACAAACAACTCCATGTTGGACTTTGGGTCCCCAAAGTCTGAGTCCCATTTCGGGTCCTGCAGCTTTGGGCCAGGATCTCATTTCTGGCAACTACTGGGCCGGCAGGGATCTGAGAACTGGCTGAAACGGCTGCCGGACCGTTGCTGTGGCTCGTTTTTGGGCACCAAGTCACTGGGTTTCCCGAAGCTAGGGAACCCCTTTTGAGATGGCTTTCAAGAGAAACGAACTTCAAGCCGCCAACAGACAGGAATGCATAATGCTCACTTATCTGGTCTGTTTGAATTTTGGCTGCTATTTCAGGTGTTCATCAAATCTATTTTGTGTTGTTAGAGCGTGTTTTTGCAGCTGCCTTGACCTCAATCAGTCAAGCCCCCGCAAGGAACTGGCTCTATGTGCGACTTCCGATCTTTGAAGATAACATGGATCGGATATTCTTGGGGGTTGATCAACAGGTTCTTGCAAGAAGTTATGTATTCGGTGACCATTTGTGTTAACGTTTAAGTCCCTCCGTGAAAGATCGGCGACGGAGCTTGCGAAAGATTATGTTTTCGCAAAATATTCCGTGTTGGGTTCTTGGAGGCATGCTTGCACACTTTCATATGCGCAGACCCCACTCCCTTGTTGACACGGAGATGCACAGCACCTTTGCTTGCATTGATTCCCTGCTTGTGTTGGGAATGGTGCAAACCAAAACGTTGGCTGGGATATTTTGAAGCAAGTGTCGCGAAACACCGGCGAAAGCCCATGGTTGCGCACATCCCGCACAAGCGCATGTGCAAGGGTAATGATGATCACTGCTTTCATTTAACGCTGCTGCAAGTCTGCCAGTGCAAGTGAGCTGCGGTTACTGTGTTTGAAGGCATCGCTGCAGGAGCCACAACGGCTCCACGCAGCGCACGCTGCAAGCAAGAGGGCGTGGCGATGGAGTCGCAAAAGATTCGCAAAAGAACTTTTTTCTCGCGATGATGGTGTGTTCCGGAAACAGGAAAATTTATCAACTGCCACTTCATTGCCAGCCTCCCTCCGCAGAGCTTGACCGGCTTTCGTCTTCAAGTGGGTCGATGCCCCTTTTCAGGTTGATTTGACCTGGAACCAACAGCAAAACCAATATTTTCTGGGGTTCTTCAAAATTGGGGGAACCTAGAGGAAACATCCTCTTTTGCTGGCTTTCCAAAAAAAACAAGACAACAGTCTTGCCGGGTTCCTTGAAGAATAGGAAGTTTAGTGTGCAACCACGGGCAAGTGAGCTGGTTTGAATTGTAGGTTGCCGATGTTTTGGACAGATTCTAGCCGTTCAAAGTCCCGGTTCATCACAGCTTGCGAGGGCCTCTTGTTTTCTGCCAACCGGCCTCGGGTCAGCCACAATTGATTGAACTTGAGCAGGTCTTGACCTGTCATGAACTTCTGTTCGGCGGTTTCCGAAAGCGCCTGAGGCAACGCACAGCAGAACCAGAGCTTGCCAACGCCAGGCTTTGCAATGGATTGGATTTCTGGGCGGGGGTGTGGCAGAAAGGAATAGATGGGAACCTGTTTTTTTGTTCTTAGTTGTTGTTGGTTTGTTTAAATGTATTTTGTTGGTGTTTTGTAGATGTTGCTGTCTTAGATTGTAAAAGAGGTCGTTAAAAAAGTGGTTTTCTATATTGGTTGGGCTCCCCGCTATTGGTTCCTTTTTATCAGCCAACAGGGGCCCTGAGTTTCATTGCTCCAGAGGATAACCAACACTAGCAGCGGTCCTGCTGATTTGGACAGTCGATTGTGCTCCCATCGTTCCTTGTGTGCCCTTGTTTTTGGCTGGATGGCAAAACTTTCTAATGACCCTTGTGTTTTATCCTACAATGGTGCCCTTTGTCCCGTTGAATTCTCTCTTTCTTTCCTCGGACGGGGTGTCCCTTTCTCAACCCATTGAAGAAGCAGCCTTTGGGACACGACCCCCCACCCCCGCCCCTTGGGTTCGGGGCCCGCAAGCAACGAACAGGCGCGGTGTCGGCTTCGAGCCTCCACGGATTGAATGGAATTCGAATCCATGTTCAGCGCTGCGGTTTTCCACACGTGGAATCAAGCCATCTGGGTTCCAACTCTTGTTGCCGCAAGTCAGGAGTTGGTTTTTAGTCTGGTTTCCCCGTTACCCGGCCAAGGGGGAGCTTGGAGAACACTGTCATGGGGACCTTACAGTGCACATTGCGGGCGATAGTCATAGCTGTAGCAACTCGGTTCTCAGTTCGGCGCTGCGCGATGCTTCTTGCTGACAACATGTTTGTTCTTCCGAGCTGGTTCAATCAGCCTGCCTGCCAGCCAGCCAGCCAGCCAGCCAGCCAGCCATACAACCAACCAGGTTACCAACCTGCCAACCTAGCAACCCGCCCAGCCAACAAACCAGCCAATCAAGCCAGGGTACAGGTATCAGCCAAAGCTTGTTGCAGGCACGGCGCTGTTGCCTGGCGTGACTTGGCTGCACTGGCACTCGATCTTCCGATGAGTCCGGTCACCAGCACCTAGTTACTATATGAGAGCTTACATGTTTTGTTGGTATTAAAGAGTTGGTGAAGTGAAGTTGGTTGCAAGTTTTAGATAGTCTTAGCATCAGATAGGTGCCTTCAACGATTCAAGGAGGCATCCAGCCCCGAGGAATGTCTGAGAATCTCCGATGAGTATGAACGGATGAACGTCAGGATTTCTGTGGGAATGCTAAAATTTCGAGTTCAAATGATCTAAGGCAAACCCATATTGTGATATTGCTGATACATACATGTCAAACATGTTCCTTGCATGGTTGTCCAATTTGTGTATATTCACATGATCTTTAGGCATCCAGAGCTACAACAAGTTGGCTGAATCGAACTGATGGAATCTGTTGACCCTGAGGCAAAGACAGTTGTGAAGTGGTCTTGTTGTCCTGAAGATTCGATTAGCGAACTATCAGGGAGACAAACAAAGGCAGTGGGGATGAATTCCGAGCACCATGGAAAGTTGATCAACACGTAGTCGTTGAGTTCCAAAGGATACATGATTTGGGACGGTTTGGCAATTGAGTCATGCCAACACCTTGGTTGGTTGATTGTTACGAGGGGGTTCCAATTTGTTTGGATAATATTTGCTCTACATGGTGGGAACTATTATTCTTCATGAATCATCATGTCAGGGATTCGATTCCAGGTGTTTGAAACCACTCAACTGGTAAAACTGACCTTGGCACTCCTTGCAAAAAGCTTTCGTTGCCACCTGGCTTTCCAAGGTCGGATCATGGTCTTCCAACCGGCCACCCCAGCTCCAGATAGACTCATTTGCATCGGCTTATCTGGGTTTCTGTTAGTTTCCGTTTGGTTCTAGGAAACGGTTTGGATGCAGTTTTTGTGGATCCACCCTTGTAGGATAGCAAAAGAGTACTAAAAGAGTATTAAGAAAGGAACAACTAGCCAAACAACATGGGGAAACCACAGAAAGCGCATCCAATCCGTTTACTGGAATGGCGGTTTCGATGTTTTGGACATCACCCTTGAATTGCCAAGCTTCAAGCTAGCTTCCTTTCTGTGGGACCTCCGAAAAATAGCTTCCTGTTTCTGGGTTCAAATTACATAACCCGATTGAGCATCTGTGGACCAGATCCACCGCTTGTCAGGGATCAAGTCAAAGGTGGGTTGCAATCAACATCTGGGCAGGTGAAGCTTTGTAGTGGGGACAGTCTCAACCACGAGTGCTGGCAGACGCCGTTCTGAACCCCAACATGGTTTGGTGGTTCTTGGGGTCACTTAGGTGCCAGGGTTTGATGAAGGGCACAGTTCTTCCCCACATATGAAGGGAATTTGCGGCAGCAAGTTGGGTTGTCTTGCTCCCTAGGCAAAAATTCCCAAGATCCCGCTTGCAAAAAGCTTTGCCTAGGCCCACATGAAGCTGCAGTACGACGGAGGCAGCTTGCGGACCCTCACCCATGAGAGGCCTCGACGGGTTCGGCCTACTCTGATGCGACCCCTCCGGTTGCTCACGATGGTTTGCTGGGTCCCCCAGCTAGGTGCCCTTTCTCACCCCTTTTCTGGTTGGGAGGGTTCCCCTAGACTACAGACAAAAGGGTACCCTTATTCTAACCTCTCTACTGGAGGACCTAGCTTAAAGCTGGGTGTTGAAAGCCAAAGGCGGAAGGCAATGCTTTTGGCATGCAAACCCTCAATGGCTGCCGGGGAGGGGGGGTTTGCCTCAGGAAACGAAGGCCATCACAATTCGGCTTAGCGAATTCGAATGAATCAGTCAGGAACACTGTGCCTGGAACGCAGGTTCCCTCTAATATGTGTCGCACCCCAAATAGGCATCAATTGTGGATCAACCCTGTGTCCACGGAACCGTTCAATTTCTGTGTGTTATGCTGACAAAGCGAACGCTGCTTTGGTTTTTCGATATGGCACATATTGAGTAGCTCCCCCCCGCGTCCATCCAATCTGCTTTGACTTGCAGCTCATGTATCTGCAATTTCTTTCCTAAACCCTTCGCTTCTCCAATGTTTGCCTGCCTTGTCGCCTTTCCCTTCTCGGCACCCCAGAAATCACAGACTCATTCCTCGAGGTTTCTCTGCCGAACCCAGCTTCCCTGCCAGGGTTTTCACATTTCACCTATGTGGTTGCAGTCAGGAGCAAATACGCATGCGTCTCCCAAAAAGGAAAGACGTCTTTGAAGAGGAAAGACTCCGAAACTCACTCTTTTGCCACTGGGGTCTGTCTCAAGTGGGCCCTTGCTCGGGCTTCCCTCCCAACGGGCACGGCGAAGCTGCAGGGCGGAGTACCTGAACTCGCGGATCCTGGCCCGGACCTCAACTGCACTTCCCTGAGCCTGGGCTTTGAAATATAATCCTTCGGGATCAAAAGCAAAGCGGCAAACCACAAGCACTCCAGCAAGTCTTGGGAACGCATGTGGCTTTACGGTCGCGTCGTAGTATTGAGGCTAAGAGATGCCCTGAAAGCCTTTGCCAAGAGATGTGTTTTGGACGAGCCACTCCATTCACTCATTGAGTGAAATGGCTGAAGCAGGCTGACCCAGCGTCATAGGTGACAACACTCGCGCTTGTGGTCAACGTAAAGAGGAGAGTCCCACTTGAGACTATGGCAGAAGCATGGCTTGCTGCACCGATTCAGGCTGCAAGCCTATGCGTTCAGCAGTGTTCAGCAGTCAGCCCTATGATGAAACAACTACTGAATATTTGTTCTGAGCTGTGCGGTGCAGAAGATTTTGCCACCTTGATCGTTGAGGGCTGAAAGCAGTTTTTCCAGGCCAGTCCTGGTTCGTGCTACATGCAGTGAACAGAACAAGGCTTGTGACGCGTGTTGCAGGCACAGGTAACTGTGTGCTTGACCAGACGTAAAGTGGAGAGCGTACCGTTGAGACTAAGACAAGATGCTGCGCCCATGCAGGCTGCAACCATGTGTTCGGCAGTGTTCAGTAGACAGCCCTGTGATGAAACAACTACTGAATATTTGTTCTGAGCTGTGCAGTGCAGAATATTTTGCCACCTTGATCGTTGAGGGCTGAAAGTAGTTTTTCCAGGCCAGTTCTGGTTCATGCTACATGCAGTGAACAAAACAAGGCTTGTGACGCGTGTTGCAGGCACAGGTAACTGGGTGCTTGACCAGACGTAGAGTGGAGAGCGTACCGTTGAGACTAAGACAAGAATGTGTTCGGCACTGTTCAGGCCAGCCCTGTGATGAAACAACTACTGAATATTTGTTCTGAGCTGTGCGGTGTAGAAGATTTTGCCACCTTGATCGTTGAGGGCTGAAAGCAGTTTTTCCAGGCCAGTTCTGGTTCATGCTACATGCAGTCAATAAAACAAGGCTTGTGACGGGTGTTGCAGGCACAGGTAACTGGGTGCTTGACCAGACGTAAAGTGGAGAGCGTACGGTTGAGACTAAGACAAGATGCTGCGCCCATGCAGGCTGCAACCATGTGTTCGGTAGTGTTCAGTAGCCAGCCCTGTGATGAAACAACTACTGAATATTTGTTCTGAGCTGTGCGGTGCAGAAGATTTTGCCACCTTGATCGTTGAGGGCTGAAAGCAGTTTTTCCAGGCTAGTTCTGGTTCGTGCTACATGCAGTGAACAAAGCAAGGCTTGTGACGCGTGTTGCAGGCACAGGTAACTGGGTGCTTGACCAAACGTAAAGTGGAGAGCGTACCGTTGAGACTAAGACAAGATGCTGCGCCCATGCAGGCTGCAACCATGTGTTCGGCAGTGTTCAGTAGCCAGCCTTGTGATGAAACAACTACTGAATATTTGTTCTGAGCTGTGCGGTGCAGAAGATTTTGCCACCTTGATCGTTGAGGGCTGAAAGCAGTTTTTCCAGGCCAGTTCTGGTTCGTGCTACATGCAGTGAACAGAACAAGGCTTGTGACGCGTGTTGCAGGCACAGGTAACTGGGTGCTTGACCAGACGTAAAGTGGAGAGAGTACTGTTGAGACTAAGACAAGATGCTGCGCCGATGCAAGCTGCAACCATGTGTTCGGCAGTGTTCAGCAGCCAGCCCTGTGATGAAACAACTACTGAATATTTGTTCTGAGCTGTGCGGTGCAGAAGATTTTGCCACCTTGATCGTTGAGGGCTGAAAGCAGTTTTTCCAGGCCAGTTCTGGTTCGTGCTACATGCAGTGAACAGAACAAGGCTTGTGACGCGTGTTGCAGGCACAGGTAACTGCGTGCTTGACCAGACGTAAAGTGGAGAGCGTACCGTTGAGACTAAGACAAGATGCTGCGCCCATGCAGGCTGCAACCATGTGTTCGGCAGTGTTCAGTAGACAGCCCTGTGATGAAACAACTACTGAATATTTGTTCTGAGCTGTGCGGTGCAGAAGATTTTGCCACCTTGATCGTTGAGGGCTGAAAGCAGTTTTTCCAGGCCAGTTCTGGTTCATGCTACATGCAGTGAACAAAACAAGGCTTGTGACGCGTGTTGCAGGCACAGGTAACTGGGTGCTTGACCAGACGTAGAGTGGAGAGCGTACCGTTGAGACTAAGACAAGAATGTGTTCGGCACTGTTCAGGCCAGCCCTGTGATGAATCAACTACTGAATATTTGTTCTGAGCTGTGCGGTGTAGAAGATTTTGCCACCTTGATCGTTGAGGGCTGAAAGCAGTTTTTCCAGGCCAGTTCTGGTTCATGCTACATGCAGTGAATAAAACAAGGCTTGTGACGGGTGTTGCAGGCACAGGTAACTGGGTGCTTGACCAGACGTAAAGTGGAGAGCGTACCGTTGAGACTAAGACAAGATGCTGCGCAGATGCAGGCTGCAACCATGTGTTCGGTAGTGTTCAGTAGCCAGCCCTGTGATGAAACAACTACTGAATATTTGTTCTGAGCTGTGCGGTGCAGAAGATTTTGCCACCTTGATCGTTGAGGGCTGAAAGCAGTTTTTCCAGGCTAGTTCTGGTTCGTGCTACATGCAGTGAACAAAGCAAGGCTTGTGACGCGTGTTGCAGGCACAGGTAACTGGGTGCTTGACCAAACGTAAAGTGGAGAGCGTACCGTTGAGACTAAGACAAGATGCTGCGCCCATGCAGGCTGCAACCATGTGTTCGGCAGTGTTCAGTAGCCAGCCTTGTGATGAAACAACTACTGAATATTTGTTCTGAGCTGTGCGGTGCAGAAGATTTTGCCACCTTGATCGTTGAGGGCTGAAAGCAGTTTTTCCAGGCCAGTTCTGGTTCATGCTACATGCAGTGAACAAAACAAGGCTTGTGACGCGTATTGCAGGCACAGGTAACTGGGTGCTTGACCAGACGTAAAGTGGAGAGCGTACCGTTGAGACAAAGACATGATGCTGCGCCGATGCAGGCTGCAACCATGTGTTCGGCAGTGTTCAGCAGCCAGCCCTGTGATGAAACAACTACTGAACATTTGTTCTGAGCTGTGCGGTGCAGAAGATTTTGCCACCTTGATCGTTGAGGGCTGAAAGCATTTTTTCCAGGCCAGTTCTGGTTCGTGCTACATGCAGTGAACAGAACAAGGCTTGTGACTTTGTTGCAGGCACAGGTAAGGCACAGGTAACCGGGTGCTTGACCAGACGTAAAGTGGAGAGCGTACCGTTGAGACTAAGACAAGATGCTGCGCCGATGCAGGCTGCAACCATGTGTTCGGCAGTGTTCAGCAGCCAGCCCTGTGATGAAACAACTACTGAATATTTGAGTGTTTGAGCTGCCAGCCCTGTGATGAAACAACTACTGAATATTTGTTCTGAGCTGTGCGGTGCAGAAGATTGTGCCACCTTGATCGTTGAGGGCTGAAAGCAGTTTTTCCAGGCCAGTTCTGGTTCATGCTACATGCAGTGAACAAAACAAGGCTTGTGACGCGTGTTGCAGGCACAGGTAACTGGGTGCTTGACCAGACGTAGAGTGGAGAGCGTACCGTTGAGACTAAGACAAGAATGTGTTCGGCACTGTTCAGGCCAGCCCTGTGATGAAACAACTACTGAATATTTGTTCTGAGCTGTGCGGTGTAGAAGATTTTGCCACCTTGATCGTTGAGGGCTGAAAGCAGTTTTTCCAGGCCAGTTCTGGTTCATGCTACATGCAGTGAACAAAACAAGGCTTGTGACGGGTGTTGCAGGCACAGGTAACTGGGTGCTTGACCAGACGTAAAGTGGAGAGCGTACCGTTGAGACTAAGACAAGATGCTGCGCCCATGCAGGCTGCAACCATGTGTTCGGCAGTGTTCAGTAGGCAGCCCTGTGATGAAACAACTACTGAATATTTGTTCTGAGCTGTGCGGTGCAGAAGATTTTGCCACCTTGATCGTTGAGGGCTGAAAGCAGTTTTTCCAGGCCAGTTCTGGTTCATGCTACATGCAGTGAACAAAACAAGGCTTGTGACGCGTGTTGCAGGCACAGGTAACTGGGTGCTTGACCAGACGTAAAGTGGAGAGCGTACCGTTGAGACAAAGACATGATGCTGCGCCGATGCAGGCTGCAACCATGTGTTCGGCAGTGTTCAGCAGCCAGCCCTGTGATGAAACAACTACTGAATATTTGTTCTGAGCTGTGCGGTGCAGAAGATTTTGCCACCTTGATCGTTGAGGGCTGAAAGCAGCATTTCCAGGCCAGTTCTGGTTCGTGCTACATGCAGTGAACAAAGCAAGGCTTGTGACGTGTGTTGCAGGTACAGGTAACTGGTGGCTGGACCAGACGTAAAGTGGAGAGCGTACCGTTGAGACTAAGACAAGATGCTGCGCCGATGCAGACTGCAACCATGTGTTCGGTAGTGTTCAGCAGCCAGCCCTGTGATGAAACAACTACTGAATATTTGTTCTGAGCTGTGCGGTGCAGAAGATTTTGCCACCTTGATCGTTGAGGGCTGAAAGCAGTTTTTCCAGGCCAGTTCTGGTTCATGCTACATGCAGTGAACAAAACAAGGCTTGTGACGCGTGTTGCAGGCACAGGTAATTGGGTGCTTGACCAGACGTAGAGTGGAGAGCGTACCGTTGAGACTAAGACAAGATGCTACGCAGATGCAGGCTGCAACCATGAGTTCGGCAGTGTTCAGCAGCCTGCCCTGCGATGAAACAACTACTGAATATTTGTTCTGAGCTGTGCGGTGTAGAACATTTTGCCACCTTGATCGTTGAGGGCTGAAAGCAGTTTTCCAGGCCAGTTCTGGTTCATGCTACATGCAGTGAACAAAACAAGGCTTGTGACGCGTGTTGCAGGCACAGGCAACTGGGTGCTTGACCAGACATAAAGTGGAGAGCGTACCGTTGAGACAAAGACTTGATGCTGCGCAGATGCAGGCTGCAACCATGTGTTCGGTAGTGTTCAGTAGCC